TTAAAAAATTAAATTGATATTAGTATTAAATTAACAATTTAATTATTATGTTTTATAATATAGTATGGATTATTTTTTTTATAATTTAATTTAAGTTTAATAATAAAGTAATTTATTTGTGTTTTAATAATATAAATTTTTATAAAGTTAATAATTAGCATTATGTTAAAACTCAATGATTATCTTAATTATATTTTAGATTTTTTTATATTTAAAATGAATGTTTATTTTGTATTTGATTATGTTTATCTGTAGTTAGTTACACGAATTTAAAAATGGAGCTTTAATAAGTTGTATTTATGCAAAATTCTTTGTAATCTTGAATTTTAAGTAATATGTATCAATAAACAATATTTCATGAATAAAAGATGGTTTTTAAGAGTTTTTGTCAAATGCTTTATAATATAGTATAAGAGTTTGTTTCAAATACAACCCGTCGCATTTGTACACCCAATACAACCCAATTAATTTAGATATTTATGGAAATAATGAGAGTTCATTTATTATGATTTGAATATTTATGAAAGATAAACATGATTCATTAATTATGATCAACATTTTATATTATGAAACAATCAAACTTCTATTAAATCACATATTAATCAAATGAAATAGACGATTGAGATTAGATTGTATTGGTTGCACAAATGTCAAGGTTGTATAATAACCAACATCTATAGTATATATATATATATATATAGATAATGTTCGTGAAATAACACATGATCAATGATTCTTACGATTTTTGGTTCTCATTATACGTACATATATATATATATATATATATATAATTATTTAAAAGGTAAATTGTAGTATTTAGTAGGGTTCATGTTCTATGAAATTTAGTTCAAAATCAAAACTAAGGTTGAAAAATAGAAGGAAATGAGATGAAGGGCAGAGATTGATGGGACCAGGAAACGTATGGTGGGGAGGCGAAGCATGGTGATAGAATGAAGTATATAACATCTTGTATTGTGTGATAGAGAAATGGAAGGAGATAAAGAAGGGGATATTACCTTATCCGCAGGTGAGAGGCTAAGGGCCAAACAAATGTTAATGACATCCCCACAAATACCCATACACCAATTTTTTTAATTTTACCTTTTAATATTATATATATATATATATATATATATCTATACTATCTATACTATATTATAAAGCATTTGACTTAAACTCTTAAAAACTCTTAAACTCTTAAAACTCTTAAACCCGTTCATCCCTAAACAATTTCATCCCTATCCGATTTCATCACATAACTGAATTCGTGTAACTAACTGCAGATAAACACAATCAAATACAGAATAAACATTTCATTTTAAATATAAAAAAATCTAAAATATAATTAGGATAATCATTGAGTTCTAACAAAATACTTAATTATTATCTTTATAAAATGTTATATTATTAAACCAAAAATAAATTATTTCATTATTAAACTTAAATTAAATTAA